CGCTTTAAAATCCAAGCGACAAGATCCACATGAGACAGTCACAATAATTTATGCAAATTTCTCTCACAATTTTGTGCTGTTCAGTAGCTTGACAACAAGAAATTCGTCATATATTTTCGAAAAGACAATAACTGTCTGTCATAAATATTATGCAAATTCTGTTTAAGTTTAAAAAATTGTATTTTAGCACCCCACAAACTTTCATTGTTATTATTACAATTTTTTTTTGTTGCTTTTATTTGTTTGTCGTGAAATAGACACAAGAAGGAAGTGACATATGGAGAAATTTATTTTCCAAAAAAATAAAGATGAATATGAAATTCACGCATAGTTTCTGTTTTAAATCATCTCAAGAAGTGAAACAGTTTTTTTAACAGTTGTAGGCTGGGATGTAGTAAGGAGTACTTTGAGAGGGGTTCTAGAACTTAATACTAGACCAGACTGGCATGGATAATTAAAGCAGAGCAAGGATAAGCCTCTGTGAAGCTCAAACATTGTGACTGATGCATAAAAAAATAGCTTGCATTCGCTATAATCAAAAATGCGACTATAATAACGGACAAAACATATTCACAGAGTAGTTTGCAAGCCCAACCTCGGCGATTTAGAAGTCATTGTCGTTTATGCAACTCAATTTCATTTTTAAGGTTTGAGTTGAATTTAAAAAAAATTTAAAAATCCTTTAAAAATCTTAAAATTTTACAAAAAAAAATAATTTAGAAAAAAACTTTAATTTTGAATTATTAATTTTTTCATAAATATAAGTCCCCCTTTTATCCAATCCCACACTGACTTACATGACAAGCAGCATTTTTTTTTTTCAATTGCAACTTAAGCAACTCAAAGACACATGATATGCTTCTTGTTACATATTCAAATATGGTCAATTTTATGATTTATGGTGATATGTTTACCATTTGCATATAAATAACATGACAAAGTAAAATGGGAAAAAGATCTTTTTTTGTGAGTGGTAAATAAAATGTTTGAAGAGAAAAAAAGACATAAAATATCGACGGCACTTTGTTTGAGTGACTTATGGTTGCTGTTGAGGAGATGTGAATGAGAAGATAGTTTATGTGTGATTTTAGAGCTACATGTTGCTGTATTGAGTTTTTTGTTTAAATTACGAAATTGTTAATAAGTTTTAAAAAATTTTAACAAAAAATTATAGAATTTAATTAAGTGGAATTGTCATTTTATGAACTATGAATGAAATATGATTAAAGTTTAAAATAAACAACTATCGCAAGAATACAAGTTCGAATCTTAGAATTTAAAAATTAATAAAGTCTTTTATTAAATGATTGATTGCATTTTTTGCAAAAATCAACTCATAACAACTTATCCAACAAAAAACAACCAAAACATCATACTCAATCGTTTAAATCCATAACAAATGTAAGTACAATAAATTTCTCATTGATTTATCATCCAATAAACATAAAAATAAGATCTTTAAAAGACCTTGAAGTCATAAAATCAATATCTGTGTAATAAAATCAATGTAAAAGAATCATAAAAGTAAAAATGAGAAGACGACACATCAAAATCGTAAAACAGAATGAAAAACAAAATGTATACAACAAAAAATTATGTGTTGATGCTGTATGAATATTTAAACGAAGCTTGAAGGAGAGAAATTTGAGGAAATTGATTGAAAGTGATGTTTGATTTTGAAGAATAGTAAGGATTTAGACATGTAGAGACAAGCCATGGGTTGGGTTTTAAAGATACCCGGGGTTCCTGCTCTTTTCATAAGTCTAGGGTAGGTTTCAAGTTGTCCTAGAAACCGGCTTCTACGATGATTTCCAACTTTTGAGTAAGGTTCTTGATATATACTTAGGGGCCGTTGACTTATGACGTCCAAGGAGAGGGGGGGGGGGGGGGGGGTCAGCAAGAAATGCACAATAGAAATTCCAGGAGATTCATTGTTTTTTTTTGAAAAATGACTGCTAATTTCGGACGTCATAAGTGAATGACCTTTAAGACATAATTTGAGAAAAGAAATAGGGCTGATAAATGGCAAAGCTAGAAGGTTCAAAATGCCTAAACTAGTGTTGTTCAAACTAGGCACACCTTGATGATAAGCTATGACTGAAACCGCACTAGGCGTTAGGTTTGTGGTATTTTTTAATAAATTTCTCCGACACACTGGTGTTACGTAGCACACAGTTTGGACAACACTGGCCTAAACCAATGAAAAAACGATCAACTCCCTTAAACCCATTTATTATTATTACTATTATTATTATTATATTTATTATAGTCCGTATTTAAATTAAAGGACCTCTTCAATTCCATTTTTGCGAAGGAAAAGCCACCTGAAAAGTCTTAAACTGTTTCAAGCGAACCCATTTATTGCATCCATAGAAAACTGTTCTGAAGCTTAGTGTCACTATACTTAATATTTTATACGAAATTCTGGTGACTGCTAACGGATGTAAGGTCTATTCTACCCTGCACATCACTTTTAAACAACCCCTAAACCATTCAACAATTGAAAATACCTCAAATCTCACACTTAACAACATTTTACAACCGAATAGTAAAGAAATCACATCAAATATCGTAAAGTGAATGAGAATAAATTGTTTAAGTATCGAAAATAATCATGGTTAATAATATTGCACGATCATAACAATAAAATGAAAATAATATAAAAAGGACCTGTTGATCCGTTCACAGAGCAAAAATTTCCACTGTGCAAGTAATAAAATTTTTTTTATTACACATTTTATGTTCTTAGAAAAGGAAATTGTTGAAAATTTTCCGTCTTTCTTCTGTTTTCGCTTCGCTTTTGCCACATTTTTTTGATTTTTTTTTTTATTATTTTCATTCATCGTTTGCTGTAAATGAGAGTGAAAGTTTTGCTATTCATTTATTTTCACGATTTTTTTTGAGCTGAGATTTTAGATTAGATTGAGGGTAATTATGTGCTCAGTTTGGGTGAGGGTTTGGGGTTGGTTGGTGGATTTTTTGATGATTCTGATGGTTCTGATGATGCTTTTGGTGACTTAATAACTTGCCTTAAACTCTAATAAGTCAAAACCACATTACTAGGTTAATTGATCCTTATAAAATTAAATAAGCAATTATTAAATTGTTCCTGGACTCCGTCTGCATTATAAAACTCAAAATGAATATTCTCTACAAATTTGAGGGTTGAAACCAGATAACTGACTCCTATAACCGGTTTAACAGTCTATAAAATAGTCTGTCTAGTTCAAAACCCACCAGCTGACATAACTTTCCTTAATCCACATCAACACGTGACCACCGACGGCAGATGATGGTTGATCATTTTAAAATACCCAACTAGCTAACGCAATAATCCATAAAATACTCAATTAGATGCGCTCCATCATATCCAACAGGATTCATTTACAATATTTTATTTTTCCAAAGAACACAATGCAAAAGGAAATTGAATTTTACAGTGAGTAAGTAACTTAGTAACTACAATGCGATGAATGAACGATGTAATGGCTTGAAGGGGGATGAAAAATGCCGGGGATATTAAGCACAGCAACAACAACAATAAGCTGACAATAAAAATACAATTAATTTTCAATTTTTATTCTTGTTCTCCATACTTTATGGGTTTTGAGCTGTGTTGCTGTTATTATTATGTGTTATGTTCATGTCATGCTGTGATTTGATGATACTTGATGCTTGATTTAATGAAAATTAATTTAATTTTTCTCATTGTTTTGCACTTCTCCTAATTTATTGTGGGCTTGATGGGCTATTTTGGAGATTAGCAAAATTTTCGTGTTTCTTGTTTAATTTTTGTTTATGGTCTACAAATTGTATCTCAATTTTTTGTTGTAAAATGTATGACAATAGACTTGAATTGTGGTAGATCTTAAGTGGCAGTAGACTTGTTTGACTATTGTGGTGTTGATGTGTCTGCAGTCTTAAGATTATTTTGTGAGATTTAAAATTTTCACAACCAGATGTCATCCTGGAGTTATGTTGTTCATAATAGAATCTTTAATATTGGCGCACAATCAATTCAGCTTTACTATTTACTTACTTGCTTGGCTAGGGCGCACGTGGGCCCATTGCCACGCTAAAGAAGACAGCTCTGTCCTTAGAAACCTTCTACCAGTTCGGGATATTAAGAACACTAGCGTCCTTTTCTACACACATAATCCACAAGTTCTTTGGTCTTCCTCGTGATCTCTTGCTATCCATAAAGTCTGCTACTGTCACTTTTAATACTGAGGCATCTTGTGAGCGTCTATACATTCCAGCTTTAGTATTTTTATATTTTTCTATGGCTTAAAATCATTCCAGTCTTAGCTGATTACTCTAATTTTGTTTGACTTCTGAAAAAATTAATGCCTATAAAAAAACAAGAAAGAGACAGGGTTGCGATACAGACACCTATGCACAGATGAGAACCGTACAATTCCTTGATAATTTATAAGGTTTTTTTTAAACAAAAACATACAAATTCTAATAAAACCTCATAAATTATGAAGGAACTGTACGGTACTCACCTGTGCACAAGTGCCTGCATCGCAACCCTGGAATGAGAAAAGTTTCACGTAGTTTAGTCGATATTAAGCATAAAGTCGGGGATGCCTAAGAATTATTAACACAAACATTAAAAACCAAAATTTTTATATCACGCACATCCCAACTTAATGACTTTGTACAACAAAAATTAATATCACTCCAAACAGCAATTCCTACAAGGGGGTGAGAGGCACAAAGGGAAATGTTTACAATCAAAAGCACATTTTTATTTGGAACTTCGAATAAATTTCCTCTCTTTTGAGTTTCTCGTTGCTTTGGTGATCAGTCCATCGATCAAACTTAAGTTTTCGAATTTGTGCATGAAAATTCCATCAAAAGTTCAGTTCACTTTCAGCTCTTGGTGTTGTCGGTTCAAAAATAAAATAAAAGAAATGTAAGTGAAAATTTTTCAAAAATTATGTAATCAATTTTGATGAAAATTTGTTAACTTTCTGCAGTTTTTTAAATTTAAAATGGATGATCGGACTGTGGATACGATTTTTCAAGGAAGTTTGGAAAACTTGCCGCCAGTTAGCTCCAAAATTGTCAGAATTTTCACAAGTTCAACATTTACAGGTGAGTTTTTTTTTGCGTCGTAGATTAAAATTATATGTTGAGTCGCAATATGAGGTATTATAGGATTATGATCGATATGGGAGTGGAAAATTTTCATTATGCTTGAGCTGTTTTGAAAGATGGCTAATTAATTTGAATAAATTTATAATTTACAATGTCTGTTTGTATTTTTTGGAATGGATTTTAGTAAATTATTGATGTTTTTTTTTTATTTTTGTTGCACTTATGTGCAAAAAGCTTTTTAGGGGTTAAGAGGCGCGTAACCAGGAGTGTGGCGGGGGGGGGGGGGGGGGCTTGGGGGACAAATTCCTTCATTTTGCTAGGAGTTTTATGAAAAAATTCATTAAAATCCACCTCATGTCCTCTGAATTTTCTATATAAATTAACCCCCCCCCCCCCCCTTCTTCAAATTCCTGGCTACGCTTCTTGGGGTCAATGAATAAATCTATGTTCAATTAGCAATGTTTTATTGTCTTACAATATCCTTTTCCTTATACTGTTTGTGACTTCATTTAAGCAACCGCTTCGTTAAAACCATTTCAAATTATTTTACATACCTACATCAAACTTGTCAAACCCAGGGTCCTGGTAGTGGCAGCAATATTCATATTCTATAATAGCTCTATAAGAAATTGGCAAACTATTATTGATCAGTTACTCAACATTTTCTTTGCATATTCAAAAGCAATTTGTTTTAGAAATTAAAATGTCACGAAATTTTCTCTGTGCATCTAGTTGGGAGCCGTTCGTTTATGACGTCCAAAGAAATGGGGGTCAGCAAGAACTGAACAATAGAAATTTCTGGAATTCAATTCTTCTTTTTTTAAAAAATAACCATTAATTTCGCACGTCATAAGTGAACGACCCCTGACCTTAAACGATGAGTGCCCTTAAAAATGCAAATCTCACCAAAATGGACGAACTTGAAAAAAAAATAATTTCATTTTCTTCTTTTTCTTAAACAGTTTCGTGTCTAAAGCTTAAATCATAAAAATTGTTCATGACTTTTGAAATCAAAAATACAAAACTTTTTGATAAACATTCATTGAAATGTTTTTTGATTAGGTTTTTAATACACATTCAAATACGATATAGAGTAGTCTAGTGTTATTTTGAATTGAATTGAATTGAATTTTTATTCATCATTTCTCTTATATTAAGGAAAAAGCCCTCTAAAACAGTACTTAAACTGTTTGAAAGGGCGTAAAAAACCTTGAAAGAATGATTGAATAATTAATGACCTTACTGGTCGTTCGATAATATTGACACATAAAAAGTTTAAAGAATGATAATAAGATGCATTATGGAGTTTATGCAAGCTTTAAAACCGTAGTTTTCAAAAGAATAATGCTTTTTAAAATTCAATATATTGACAATTCATGAATTCTGTGTGTTAAAAACATTTTATTTGAATTTGCGGTTAATTCTACTTATTCTGTCAAAATGTCTTTTTATTAAAATTGGTTATTCAAGAACAATGCGTAAAAAATTCAATTTTATTCGAAAAAAAATTCTAGACATAATAAAACCAAAAAATATTCAACCACAAAAATATCATTTAACGTATTTTTATGCATAATATGATTTTCCACATTTAATTCCCCCAAAAAATATCAAAACACATCATAAATTTTCATTACACGATATGTCAATTTAACTTTCTATTCGATAGCATTTAACAATGCAATTTATTCCAAACTTCGAAAAATATAATCATAAACAAAAGGAAACAGTTTCGCTGTCAATGACTTTTATAACCTTCTGACTCACAAAACTCACCTACTGTGAATATCAATTTCAACCCCTCATTTTTGACATACTTATTTTAAGGAATTTTGTTATTCATATGTGAACTAAATTCAATTTCATTCATATGTGCTTATTTATTTACTTCTTTTTTTCACCATAGACACGTTAATGGAACGCAATAATTTGATGTCAAAATGCTATCCAAGAATCAAGGAATATTGCAGAGAGAAGCATGGATTGGAGTTTCAGGTGAAGTTTTGAAGCTTTTTGTGTTTTGCTGCGGTTTGAGAGCTTTTATGATTTTTTTTTGAAAAACTTTAATTTTTTTTTTAAAATTTGATTTGGAGAATTTTTAAAAATTGATTTCAAAATTGAAATTTAATTTATTTTACCGCTAAATTCAATTTTTAAAAATAAAATTCAATTTTTTCTCAAATCTAAAGAATCCATCGGAATTTTTCCATTCTTATTTATATCCATAACTCATTCATTATGTTCACATGCCGGCAAAATTGTTGTTTTAAAAAAATTATTTCCATTGTCAACCCAGAATTTTCGAAATTATTGATCTAACAAAAAAGCGCGCAAAACGAGTCAAAACATTAACAACCTTGAACAAGTTTATGTTTGGCAATTTTGAATTGATTTTTACGTCATTGCTTTTTGTTGACTTTAAAATTCCCGCACACAAATTGAGAGCACTGAATTGTTTTAAGTTTGAAGGATTCTTTTGTTGTTTTAAGAATTGAGTTTTTTTAAAAACTTTATTCATTAACCTTTGCAAATAACAATTGGAATTCTAGGTTGTAGACATGCGATGGGGTATTCGTGATGAAGCAACAGACGATCATATGACGACTGAACTTTGTATGAGGGAAATTGTAAGTTGAATGAAGCTTACGCTTGTAGTATGTTGGTGGGATCATTCATAAGTCAGGTTCTTCATTAGCTGAATCTCTAGACAGCAGTAAGGGTGTGGTACTGATGAAATGATCAAAGATGATCAAAAGTTATCAAAGATGATCAAAAGTTATCAAAAATGATCAAAAATTATCAAAAATGATCAAAATGTACTTCTTCAGTTCCACACCCTTGGACAGCATCAAATTAAAAGAATTGATAAAGAAATTCAGATTCTCATTTATCCTAATTTTAGAACCTAACATGTGAATGATCCCCACGAATTTACAGCAATTTGCTAACCTTAATTATCTATTTTTACAGAAAAATTGTCAAAGATTGAGTATGGGACCGAATTTCATCACATTTTTGGGACAAAAGTATGGTTATCGACCTATTCCAACATACATTCCGTCTGCAGAGTTGCAGCTAATAAGAGATGATCTAGATGTAAGTAAAGAGTTAAGATAGAGCCCACCTTTCTCTAAAAGTAGGGTCGCAGCTGATGTGATTGTGGCGAGCTTTGCATTACGAACTTGTGTTGAATCAATTTGATTCAAAGTGTCAATTTCGAGCTTTGAGGCTGATTACAAGAGCCACTCTGAGCATCTTATGGATTTAATGAACTACAGTATGTGGTTTAAATAATATCAATCTTAGACAATGGTTAAATGGCCTTGGTAGCTCTACAAACTTGTCTCTTCGATCTAATCTAGTCAAATGAGGACGGATACTTTAATTCTCGATCCCTGTTTTGAGTTCATCTGCAAATGCCAAAGCTTGATATTTGCATTTATTGATATTTTATCTAAATTACATCTTAATCCATTCACAGGCTTCTGGAGTTGATGTTACCTTGCTTGATCTGTGGTACAAAAAAGGTAAGATGCTTCAGGTTGTTCCAATGAACCCCAATTCTATTCGATACCGCTTAAATTTATGAGTCACCCATACCAATAGTCATTACCATAACTGCCATTCCACAGATTCCAACTGCGTTCCACCAGTTTCTATCCTTCAACCAATATCTTCAATTTTAATCAACTTTATCAACAAAAGAGTTCCGAAATTACAAGCAGAAGATCAGGCAATTTGGTGGGATACTTTGACTAAAATGCAAAAGCTTTTGAGAAAAGGTTCAATGTCATTATTTCAACAAGGAAAGATAGACAAAGACACAATGCATAATTACTTCATGTCTGTCACAGAACGTGAGATTATTAATGGGCTATTGAGTGTAAGTCAATCAATTTTTTAGGTTTCGAACCCGTAATTTAGATATTAATATTCCATTAGGTCAAAAACACAAAGAATCACTGCTTGGGCTACGTCCGATACATCAACAACATTAATCTTCAGAATCTCAAGAAAGCTTCAAACTTTGTCGACATCATCAATAGATCCCTTGACACGGAAGCAGCAAAATATCTTTCGGATCTACGTGATGTTCGCTTGCCAGCAAGACTTGAGGAATCAAACTTTCAAAGATATACAATTGAATGGATTGGCAAGGAAGGAATTGATGTTGAGACACATGAGGAATATTTGAATCATTTTATTGGACATTTCTACAAAAATATGGTAAAGCTAATTGATCGAGCTATGAGAAAGGAAGATTCATCACCACAAGGACAGATTGTGACTGAAATTTTGCAGCATCTTCATGCCTGCAATAATTCTGTCAAAATATTCTATGGACGTGAAGATACATTGAAGCTAATTGAGAACTATATGTCAGGTCCATCAGATAAGCCACTTGTCCTTTACGGTGAAGGTGGTTGTGGCAAGACAAGTATGTTGTCTAAAGCAGCAGCATTAACAATGGAAGTTTGGTTTAGTGACTGTAAACCTATTAATATAATTCGATTCCTTGGAACCACACCAGATTCTAGTGCACTTACTCCAACCTTAGTCAGCATATGTCAACAAATATCTTACAACTTTATGATTCCATTTGACACAATTCCAGATGATTTAGTTCCACTGACTGCACATTTTAAGCAACTTTTGACTTATGCAAATAAGAATCAGCCTTTATGTCTGTATTTAGATTCTGTAGATCAGTTGACAGGCACACAAGATTCTAGTAAAGTGTCCTGGCTACCAACACGACTTCCACCTTACTGTAAAATCATCGTCTCATGTGCAAATGAGGAAGCAAATCCAGAAGTGTCACAAGAATATCACTTACTGAGACGAATGATTGATGCACCAGAAAATTTCATAGAAATTACAGCACTCGGTGAGGAATTGGCAATGAATGTCATTAAAATGTGGATGGAAACGGCATGTCGTGACTTGACAAACTTCCAATGGCGCTTAGTATCAAATGCAATTGCAAAATGCTCACTTCCGATTTTCGTCAAATTAGTCTTTGCTGAAATTTGTCGTTGGAGGAGCTTCACAAAGCCACAGGATACGCACTTAGCATCGAATGTTATGGACAGTATTTTTCTACTTTTTGAGAGAGTTGAAAAGCAACACGGAAGACTGCTTGTATTTCATGGCTTAGCTTATATTACAGCCTCTAAATCTGGACTATCAGAGAGTGAACTTGAAGACTTGATTTCGTTAGATGATAAGGTTTTGGATGATGTTTATCAGTACCATTTGCCGCCGGTTAGGCGAATTCCACCTTTGTTGTGTAAGTATCTCGAATTTTGAAAGCATCAAGCTATTGATTGCCATCATTAAACAAAATCCATTATATCACCAAATTATCAACTCATAATCATCCTTCTTTCATTCCAGGGACGAGAATAAGAAATGATTTACCAAACTACTTAAGTGAACGCGAAGCTGATGGCGTTAATGTTATGAATTGGTACCACAGACAGTTCCGTGACACGGCAAAAGAGCGATACTTTAAAAATAAAAATATGGCAATTTATTTCCACTCAATGATTGCCGATTATTACCTTGGCATTTGGGGTGGTGGACGTGCAAAGCCATTTAAATACACGGAAATTCAAAGGCATCGATTTAATTTGACTGACAAGGAAGGCATTGCGGATAGAAAAGTTCCTGATCAACCGCTCGTCTTCTACAATAAGGAAGGAAAAGTTTGTCGATATAATTTGAGAAAGTTTGGTGAACTTCCATTTCATTTGGTGCGATCGAGGAGATTCACCGACTTGTATAAGAACGTCCTGTTTAATTACGATTGGTTACATGCAAAACTGTCCTGTTGTCCTCTTCAAGCAGTCTTAGCTGACTTTGAAGACGCCTCCATGAATGTTGAAGAAGCAGATGCCAAACGTGAATTAAATTTGGTTGCAGACGCTCTCAGACTTGGCGGTGCTATCCTTACGAATCCGGATATGTTAGCATCGCAATTGATTGGTCGATTGCTTCCTGAAATTGGTGGAAATCCAAATATTAAGATGTTGCTTGAGGCTTGTGATGGAAGTGGACCGAAACATAGTGCATTGATTCCTATTAATCATTGCTTGCATACACCCGGTGGGCCATTGAAATATTCACTTGAAGGACATCAATTTGCAGTCTTTGGATTTTGTTTAACTACTGACATGCGCTATATGGTTTCAATATCCACACGATTTATTACATGGGATTTAGGAACGTCAGATTTAACACGCGATGTCAATCCAGGAATTGAAGGAATAATGCAACAATTGGTGCTTAGCAAAGACAACAAGTGGGCTGGTGCCTATACAAATAATAGTCAATGTGTCTTATTAAACATGCTGTCAAGTGAATTTAACATCATTAATAATCCATTTGACGAAAATGATGAAGTCCATGGCGTTTACTTACTTAATCAGGCATTCTTTATTTACTCAAAATTGAAATTTGTTAGATATGACATGCGGGCACAGCTGCAAGAGACTTACGAGTTTACTGATCTGAATGGAGCTGAATGGGAGTTGCTAAGTATGGAATTTTCAAGTTTTAATGAATTTATCGCGATCTTTTGGTCTGGATCGATTAGTGATACTCGGTTGAGGATGCATACTGCTAAGCAGGGTGAGTATCAAGTTATTTAAAATTAAATATGCTGAATAATCCTTTAATATCCCAACAGGCATCAACACAGACCCTGTACTCTTCCACTCAGCATGTGCTATGAATAAAGATCGCAACGTCATGTATTGCTGTATGAATCAAGACACTTATCAAGTTTCAAAGCTGATGTTCACAGTTAATGATGAAGTCGGTGAAGCTGAATGGAAATTAATTGAGGAACTTCCACGATATGATAATGATGAGAAGGAAATGCTTATTCAGCTTAAGCTTGATCAAATTGATGGTCGCTGGTTGATGGGAACTGCTGCAAATGGCTTTGTCTTGTGGGACTATTCTGAGGAAAATCCAATTCATCCTGGCGAGGCGATTTACTTAGCATTGCCGCATGGGGTTAGAAATATTTCTACTAAGATGATGCAGAGTAATTCGATTATGATAAGTTCGAAGGTTGATTATGCTGTGGCTGGTGTTAGGAAGAATTTGTATGTTTGGAGCTTAGGTAAGGATGAATTTTGAGTTAAGTTATGCTTTGTGTTGGTTTGAGGATCGTTATCCTCTGTTGGAACTGCTTAATACTTGGATTTGATGCTTGATACACTCAAGAACATGTCATTGACTCTGGGTTATAGATTTTTTAAACAACTTCCTCTTGAAGCTTTATTATAAATTACATAATCAACATTTTACTCTTTCCAGAAAACAAGCAACTCATGAAAGTCCTCGACGCACATTTTGGAAGGATTATGCAGGTAAGTAATAAACTGAAAGCTGTGCTTAAATCCCTCGATCAATAACACGATTAACTTTCTTTCACAGCTAAATTCGCTGACCGTAGGCAACTGGAATTGCTGTGTTACTTCATCGATTGATCGTTCTGTCAAAGTCTGGAATATCAACAATATATTTGAACAAGTCCATGTCATTGATCGTCTAGAGCTTCAAATTGATAACATAAGCTTGTCCAATGATGGTGAAATTGCTTGCACAGTTACACGTAGTTGTGTTGGCGTATGGGGGATATTAGAGAATAGGTAAGGATAGGTTCAGACGGTTTTAACTAAGGATTAACTAAGGATAGTCATATGAACTCATATTAAGTAAGCTTGCCTCATTGAATAAGGATTATATACGCAAGCAAGCCAAAGCTTTTGACAAAATGACCCTTAGCACCATTCAATTCCATTAATACTGTCTATATCCAACAGATTGCTCTCAAAACTAGCTGACTCACCCTTAGGAGCTATCGTTACTCACGCTGAAATCACACCAAATGGTAAATACATTGTGTCATCAGAAACTGGAAAATTGATCATTTGGAACCGAATAACAGAGCAAGTGTTATTTAAAGATGACCAACCAGGCATCCAACAAATAACTTTACTTGAAGAAGGTGAAAAGGTCTTGACAGTCTCTTGCAAGGAATTCAATTCGGCAAATCAGCTTGGAAATGATGAGCAGAGATTGACGGCTAAGGCTATAGTTCGTAGCATTCCTGATGGTGATACTTTGTATAAGTTTGAGTTTGGAATCAAGTCAATTCCTGGCATTCCATTCAGACAAACTCACGTGTCAGCTGATGGACAGTACATTATAGCAACATCGGTTGATAAAAATGGAAAGGATGCACTATCCGTGAGTATAATCATTGTGCTAACTTATTTAGTCATTTTGTAGAGTAACAATTACATCCATGCCAACTATTTATTCAAAAATTATCTAGAGTTTTAACAAAATATTCTCAAAATGTGATCTACAGATTTATAATGCCGAAAATGGCGCACACATTCACAAAGTCTCACTTCGTAGCTGCGGCATCAAGGAAAATGTCTTGAAAGTTATATCGTTGCCTCACAAAGCGACTCAAGTTGCCGTGATAACAAGTGAGAAGGGAAGCATCATTGACATTAAGTCGAAGAAGTACATTCGATCTGTTCCCAAGTGGGATGGAAGTTGCACTAAAGATGGGAAGTTTGGATTGTATGCTCCGGCTAGGTAAGTTCATCTTTGAGATCAGAAGTTCCCTTTTAGGTCAAGAAGCAATGGCCTATCTAAGGCCCTTTTCTGAATCTTAGTTTCTACTTTAAACCCTAAAAATCATATCCACTTCCAGAGGCGGTCTCGATCTCCTCGAACTAAAGAAAGGAACAACAGTTAAAACCTTCATTCCGAAGGTAGCAGAAGGTGTCTTTACAGTCATCTGCATGTTTACTGACAACGATGAGTATGTCCTCTATTATCACAGCGGTAGGAAGGCACTTCGTGTATTCCGTACCAGTGACAGTGAAATGATTGCAAACTATAAGATGCAGGCTGAATTGACATCTATTAAGAGCTCAAAGGATGGAAAATGTTTGGTCTTGGGAACTATTGATGGATGCTTGTCAGTGTTCTGTATTGCTGACTTGCAGAAGCCGGAAACGAAGGAATATTTGCAGCAGTTGCCGTCGAGGGATGTCAATGTAAGTAGCTTTATACATTTTATTAGATTTATGCTGAATGTCCCTCATTTTCAGTGGAAGAAGAAGCTAGCAAGAATGAAGGCTAACCAAAGATTCCGAGCAGCTTTCCTCACGATCACACTAGTCTCAAAATTCAGCAGTCTCCACGCAAATTCAGAAAATAATGACAAGCAAAAAGCACAAGAAGCAACTTAAATAACATTTATTAGTCCTGTATACCTGTTGAGCTGTTGTTTAAAAGTCAAAAACTAATAAATTATTCTATTTTATTCAACACAAACCAAGAGATTGATAGACTTGTCTAGTCTCGTGATTTAGTTTGTTGACCCTCTTTATTTTTCAGTCTGAGTCGACAACATTGTTGACTGACAACGGAGGAATTTTGATTGAAAATAGCTTTCCAATTGTTGCATATTTTTTTTCGGTGGCAATTTGCATGGATAATGAATTTTTTTTTTGTTTTGTAGTGTGTGAAGTGATATTCGAAAGAATAATGGTATAGGAAGTGTTTATTCGGCAGTTGTTGGTAAAAGCGACATCTAGTGTTAAACATTTGAAATTATAAGAGCTTTCAGATTCAGATGTCGCTTAGTCTAGACACATTTCAAGTATTTACTCATATTTATTCAAGACACTTAGTTTTATTAAAAAGTCTTGAGGATGAAAGCAGTCTGTTGACCGTGAAAGCATGCAATAGAGGAAAAAGCATTTTATGAAACGAAGAAAGCAGACTTATAAAGATCTTAATGTAAACTTTTGTTGGATATGATATTCTTTTTTGATTAGAATGCAGCATTTAAGATGCACGGAGTGTCTAGGTTGGTTTAAGGGATGCCCTTAAGTTAGATTCGATGTGTGTAGCTTTAGACTAGACCCCTCGAAGGATCCACACCCTCCTGGCTCCGGTCCTGGCTTCTTATTTCCAGGGTTGACACGTTTTCATCTTTTTTCATCTTTATATGGCAACCCCTGGACTAAACATCTTGGGACAGTATTCATTTCAATCTAGTGTATCGAATCTCATTAGTTTAGGGAAGGTTGGGTCGATGAGCTTTATAAACAAGCCCTTGAAACTGGAGAATCCTTTAATAAATATACTTTAATACAAGGAGGTTTGAAAAGGTTAGATTCAACCTGAAAAATATCATAAATAGATTTTACAAAGTAAAAGATAATATTTTAATTTTTTATGATTTTTATTCAATAAACTATTTTACAATTTAATTTAATCCTCATTTTCATTGTTTTTTTTCCTTAATAATTTTTTTTTCTTGCTTAAAGAATTTTTTTTTATGATTCTCAAAAGTACGGTAAAATTAATGAATCCGTCCTTCGTCGAGAGAGAATTTTCTTCTAGGTTTGGACATTTGAGGAGGTCTAATTTGTGGGAGTTGGGGGTCTATTGAGGGTGAGTTTTGGCAATTTTTTAAGATTGTTTTGAATTTCTTTTGCCAAGGAATTTGAATTTAATTATAAACTTTTGATAGATTGTAGATTTTTATGATTTGTGCTTTTATCTTCATAAATTTTTGATTAATATGCACAGTTTTAAAAAATTTTGAAGCAATTTGAACTTCAAAGATCTACAAAGAACCCCAAAACTCACAAACTAAGGCCTCCAAAAAAAATCTCCAAAAACACTCTAGAATTCTATTTATAATGATTACATTTAAATTGTTTTGTTTCCTTAACATTATACGTATACTTCTTGAAGATCTTTCGTTTCTAAATAATATAAAGGTTTTTTTATATTTATTTTACTTAATTTTTTTTGTATGTGTATCTTTGTATTCGCATATTTCAGCAAACTTTATACAAAATTCCTCTAAAAACTTTTTTTTCTCTTTTTTATCAACAAACACTACATAAAATTATGGCATATACGATAGATTTTCTTCTTCATCATTATCTTCTTTTATGTATTTTCAATTTTATTTGAAAAAGAAAAAAAAAATCAAAGGAAATTTTATATTTTTGGAAATAAGAAAAATTTTTTTGTCTGTTTTGTGTGAATTTCTTTTAGAAATATTTTTTTATTTCATCTTGTTTCATTTTATACCTGAATGTTTGTGTCGAAAAATTATCTTCTTTTTTTGCTCTACAAATTTTCTTTTATTTTTTTACAATTTTTTACTTCAATATATTTCATTTTTATATCTCTTTTATAAAAATAGTATACTTGTATGCTCTTGATCCTGAATAAGAAGAAATGTAATACACGTGAGGCCCTTGAAGAAGGTTAGAGGATAGGATGTGATGCTGGAGTTTTAGATTAATCAGTTTTATGAATGAAAATTATTATTGAGTTGAAAATTTGTTTTTCGAATTTTTAAAATATTTTTTGAATAGTTTTGAATTCTTTTAATATTTATTGAATTTTTAAAACATTTTGTATTTATTTGAAATTTTAAAAACTGTTTGAATTTATTAATTTGTTCAAAAGTTGTTTTAATTTTTTTAAATATTATTTCAAACTTTTGAAGTGATTTTTATATTTTTAAAAATTCAGAATAACCTAATATGTGTTTTAAATTCATCCTAAGCCATCAAGAAGTTAACCTCAAATCACAAAACTTCCAACTTCATCCACCCCCATTGACCCCCATCCTCAGGGTTTTATAGTAGTAAGAAAAAAAATAGAAAAATTAAATAATAAAAAAATTGAATTTTTTTTATTTCACTTAAGTACTTTTTTTTATATCATTTTTTTGTGTGCTGCCTCTGTACGGCGAAAAAGAATTGCTAATTAATTAATCAATTTTTTCACATTTATTTAGTGTTTACAAAAAAAAATGAAAACTATAAAACATTTGAACTAATTTTTATGCAATATTTATCAATGTATTTTCAAATTCAATAATCGTATTCATGTATGTATATTTATATTTATAGTAAATATCATTATTATGTACACTAAATTGTTGAATTCTTTTTTTTTAATCGCGAGAAGAAATGATACTTAAAAATGAAGAAATGATCTTACATGGAGTTTGTGTATGTGTGTGAGTGATAAGGGATAGTGAGGTTTGTTCATAAATGATGTCTAACCTTAAAAAGAGTTCTGAAGCTGCTTGATATTAATACAAACATTAATTTGAATGATTATCTTGAATGAAAAGGACCTAGAACCCTAAAATAAGATCAACGTTACTTGTGAACTCACCCCAAAGTTAAATGTAATGTAGAATAAGGTAGGAAAAATCATTTTCACTTCGATATTATCGTATATAGTGAAATTATTTATAGTACGAATTTACTTGCATAAAAATATATATTTTTAAGAGGCGTAGACACTTGTTTATTTATGATAGCAATTTGAAAAGTTCACTTGTTCCTCGCTTCTTCGTAAATAACAATCTTTTACTTTATGAATGAAGAATAAATTGCTTCATTAAAGAGGAAATTTGTCGAAAATTATTTTTATGATCATTAATTTTGAGTGATATAGGATATTCAGATCAGATTTGAGTGATATAAAGGTTGCGGCACTGCAAATTGACTGTGATTGAGGATGTTTTGTGGAATTCTTTCATGCAGGTGTCGTAAAATTGATCGGACACTTCATAAATTTTTAATGAAAATTTGCATTTATCAAAAAGATATTCTAGATTTTAAGCGTAGATAAATTTTGTTTTGGGAGTCTTTTCGAGTCATGAAAGAATTTTAATAACATTTGATAATTTATTTTGAATTTTTGAATTATCTTTGAAGGCTGAGTGCCCCAAATTGAATGAAAATTTTAAGAAAATTGAAGCAATTTTTATTTTTTTAAAATCACTTTCAATAACCTAGTCACGATACGAACAGATCGCAATGAAATTAATAGTTGCGACGGTAAATCGATACCTCAACAAACCCATCGCAAAAATTAAAAAATTCAACTTTAAATAAATAAATTCGAAAAATAAACCTAAATTCGCATATCATAAATCCCATCAAGTGCCTTAAACACCTCTCAATGTTCACATATATTAAATTAAAAGGAAGGAAAAAATGGCAAATTTCACTGGGATGAGTTATGATCATCATATCATTAATTACGTATGTAGTTCCTTTGTAGCTTCATCTTCTAGTGTATAAAAATTAAATTACAAAAGTATAAAGTCTACCGAATGTGGAGCTTTTTTGAATATTTTGCGGATATTTAAACAACTTTTTTAAAAATTTGCAAAATAATCAAGACTCACTCGGACTTCTCATTTAATTTAAAAAATCAACAAATAACGAATAAACTTATTAATAATTTCGTAATAAAAAAATCAGATTTTTGATGGAATTTTTTAAAATTTTAGATTTTTTGGATTAATTTTCAGAAAACAGATTATTTTTTATTAAATTAAATGAAATTGAATTTTTGAAGAGTTTAAAATTTTAAAACTTTCTAAAACTTGAAATCTTGAATTATTTATTCTAAATGTTATAAATACTTTAAAAAAAATGTCATAAATAATATTTCAAAAATTTACATTTAAATTTTAAAATTTTGAAAATAAAATTTTTAAAAATTTTAAAACTGATTTTTTAATTTTTCCTTTTTTTCAAGTTTCTGGACTTAGAATTTTTAAATTACAAATAATGAATTCGCAATGAACTAATCCAAAAAAATTAAAATCTTAAAAACTCCTTAAACAAAAAGAAAAAATCAAGATCATAATAAAATGCACATTAGTAGAAGTAGAACTTATGAAGAAGTAAGCTATTGTGAGTTCCTTAAAAAACTGACAAAAATCTCAATTATTTTCACTTATTATTTCTTTATACAAATGTAAAAATTACTATTTATATTTATATTTTTTTTTTGTTTTTTTTTTAAATAATATTTTTTAAGTTATATTTTGGCTGGATTTACTTCATCATCAACTATCGTTTTTTCTTTCGTCTACTAACTGTAGAAATCAAAGAAAAAAAAATTTCTTACCTAAATTTTTATTTTATTTCTTATTTTTGCTTCTGTAGTGAGAAACGATGAAGTGTTTGTTTTGTCTATGAAATCACTAAAAATAATTATCTTTCTTCTTTTCATTTTTCATCACTATTTTAATTTACGTATATTTGTTTCCAATTATTTTTTTTCTTCAATTTTTTTCTTATTTTTTTTCTTCTTGACTTAAAAGTTCTAAGTAATTCTCTTCCATCTCTATTTTTTTTTAAATTGAAGAATTTTTGTGACTGCATATAAATCATTTTTTCTTGGAGTTTGAGATTTGAAATGAATATTTTTTGAGTAATTTGAAATTTAATTTGTTTATGAATTAGATACTTTGTAAGATTTTATTAGAAAGATTTTTGAATTTTTCAAAATTGCTGAACAAAAATATGATTTGCTCGGACTGAAAATTGAACCCCCGACGTTCTTATTACAAGCTCAGTACTCTAATATCTAAAAACATTAAGCAGTTTTGCTATTAAGATGAAAATTTATCATTGACTTTTCAAAATGTTTTATTTTAAAATCCAAATTAAATTTCATTAATCTCAAATAATATCCATTTCTCTAGAGAAATCTTTGTCGATAATTTTGAAATCAAAAGTCTTCAGACTACAATTGAAGTTTTAAAAAAATTCTTCAAAAAATCCACTAAAGTTAAACAAACTCAGGAAAAGAATTAATTTTTGTATATTTTTCTAAAAAATATTTTTCTTACGAAATTATTACGTATAGTATTTTTTTGTCAATTTTTTCTTTATTTATTTGTAGTTTTGGATACATTTTTGGACTGTTTTGTTAAAATTTTAGTAGATTTTTTTAAGAATATTAATTTTGAGTAATTAAGTTTTGGGTTTTTAAATGATTTGATTTTTATTTGATCAATTTTTATAATTTTCTATCATTTTTATCTGTTCCTCATCTTAGACAAGCTTGTGGAATTGTTAAAAACTGATCAAAAATTACCTAAACTTGACTGATGAGTATCCAATCTCAAAAACAATTTGCAGGTGACTCAATAATTCATTTTGAATTGCAGACATACTAATCAAGAAATTTTGAGCAGTCACAATTTTTCTCATAATTACTCAAACCTCAATTCAATGCCTAAAGTCAACAAGTAGTCAAAACCAACAACATTTGAAAAACACTTAATTACAGTTGTCTGGAGCTTGTTTCAAAAATTCCCACATTTGCATTCCAATTTTGTTTTCAAATAATTTAGAACACATACCAATCATTACCTCCCAAAAAGGTATTCATTATCCAATTAAATTTAACATTTTTTTTGTATTTTACCTCAAAAGCAATTTTTACGTATTTTCGTTTCTAAAAAAATTATTTTCTTATTCAAAATTTGATTTAAAGTCAAAAAAAATTTAAACAAAATGCACTAGATTTATCTCATCCTAATCTCATGTTAAATAGCCAATAGCCTATAATAGAAAATTTTTTAATATAAAAAATCGTAACAAATAAAAAAAAAGTTCACTGATGCATGAATTTAGAGAGAGAGAGAGATAGAGAGAAGGATAGATGCAGTCATGATTATCAATTATAATTTAATTTAATTTTTTACACAATAGTATTATAATTATCATAATCATTACATTGTTATATTATTACTATTTTTTTTTTCATTTAAAAACATAGGAAAATAGCTGCATAAGTAAAATAAATATTGCAAAAAATTAATAAAAAATTCAAATAATATTTAAAAAAAACTTAGATTGCACATCTGATCAATTATCAATAGAGATAGTCGAGGATTTGAATTATAGAAAAAAATAATTATTTGAGCTTCACATTAAAATCTGCATTGCATTGTTAATCTTTTTTTTTAATTCAATGCGGATGTGATTTTTCATTCGAGCCCATATCTGATGCAGCGAGGATAAGCATTTTTCATTCAAAAAATGATAAAAAAATCTTTCCTTTAAAATTGTACATTCAGTAATTATTTTCTATGTACGTATCATTTTCATTTATAGTAAGCAATAGAGAGAGAAAGAGGACTGCACTTAATATTTCATTTATTAATATTTAAATTGTTCATTGTTTTTTGACTTTTTTCTTCATTTAGATTTTTTTTTGGAATTTTTTTCTAAGGTCTGTTGTGGGGGTTAGGAGCTTTTTAAAAGGGTGTTTTTATTTTGAAGTTAGAAAAAGAGGTTTGGTTTAAAAGATCCTCTCTCCTGAAGGTCTTAAGACCCGAATAGACTAAAGTCAGTACACTAAAGTCACGACTAAAATAAAACGATCATTAAATGTGGTTTAAAATTGAGTAAACTCAATTTGAGTCATCGGTTGAGCATTAGAGACACACCAGACACCCAATACCCTAATAAAGTTACTAAAGATAGCCAACAGTGTGCTATTTCACACCTAATTGCGTCTAATACAGCTTCTAATCTCTTTATTGAACTCGATCCTCGATAAAAGATCAAATCAAACCTACAATACTCTTCCAAAACCCTTCAATTCAAAATCAACTTCCTCATTACCAAGAAATCTCATCAAAAATCCATCACGATCCATAAAATCCAATTTATTTTCACGCCGATATTACTAAAATGAAATGTCTGATAAATAAATTCGTTAAACTTCTGTTTTTTTGTTACGGTATATTGGGTATAAATCCTCAACCTGTTTTTTTTTATTATTTCATATTCATCGGCAATTTTCTTTTCTTCAACCTTTTCATCTCTTAATCTCATCATTCATTTTATTTAAAATAAGAGGAATGTCGAGAGATTTTTTATATATTTTTTATTTTGAGAGAATAATTTAATTTTGAGGTCTTTGTTTTGGATTTTTTTGTTGAGAGATTTGATGGATGGAAGGGGTATGGTGATTGTTTGATGAATAGATTTGGTGTGGATTACACCAAAATAGCCAAAAAAATTTTAAAATTAATTTTGTAATTTTAAAAAAATTAAATTTGTGATAAAATTTTTAAATTACTAAGATGACCTCCTTAATTCAACTTGGTGCCCCTATCATGGGGCGCAAATTGAAAATATAATTAAATTAGGGTCTAGAGCCTTCCAACCTGGATGATATCTCAGGATAACTATAGTCAAGAGTACCACCTCCTGACCCCCAAAACAACACACCTTCGAAAATATTCCACTATCATTTCCTCTAACCTTTATCCTTAATAATTTTTTTTCAATATTTTTTGTTGCATTTTTGTTTTTACAAATTTAATTTATTTCATTCATTCATTAATATTAATATTATAATTATTATTATTACTTTTACTTATTTTTCTTTTTCATTATCATTAATTATTATTATTATAAAAATTTAAAATTTAAGACTATTAGTTGTAGAATAACTAAGTTCCCTCTATCGAATGACCTTGCGCAACTAATGCGGCCTTTTGTGCTTGTGCTTGCTTTTCCTGCTCGTTCAACTCTTTGATGGCCTGTATCTCCTTTTTTAATTTCATTCGTCGATTTTGGAACCTGATTTAATGACACACACAAAAGAGAATTCATTTAGTGAATTGATAAAAAAGGCTTTGGATGCAGACATTCACATAAATAATGCCTTAAAATGCTCCGACATTTCTTTATCATTTTATTAAAGAAAAATACTCACCAAATTTTTATTTGCCGCTCGGTAAGACAAAGTGCATGGGCCATCTCTATTCGGCGTCGTCGAGTGAGATAGTGATTTGTGTGGAACTCTTTCTCAAGCTCAAGCGTTTGGTATCGTGTGTATGTTTGGCGGCCTCGTCTTCTTAATCCATTTGCACCTATAACATTTTTTTTATGAGAAAAGAATTTTTTGGGATTAATAAAATGTTTTACAAAATGAGATCATTTTCTAGACATTTATAGCTGTTGAAATTGGCTTTGTTGCTCCTATGCTGTGCTTGATTTTAAGTATGAGGGAATGTAAATAAAAGTAAGTGTCAAATTTAGTATTAAGATTATCATAAAAAGTGTTATTTAAGAAGTTATGAATGTCTATAAGATGAGATGATGTTTTGATGGGATTTGGGATGTGGATATGGGTTAGGAAGGGGGTGTGGGGGGCTAAGAAGAGTAATTTTTAAAAAACTTGAATTTTTTGCTATAATAATTCTGTCAAAAATTACTCAGAAATCCTTAATTGAAGCCCCAAAGCCCCCATTTTAAGTTTCTTCATCTCATTAAATCATTCATCTACATCTAAATCATAAAACATCATCGAAATTCCACAACATATTCCCCCCCAAGGGTTCATGTTAAAATAATTTATAATTGAGACATTCTCATCTTCATCAATTTGAATAATATAGCCTCATATTGCCTCCTATGTTTATGTGTCGATGATACCATGAATGGCAAATATTGACGGTGTGTTTTTTGCTGCGGTCGACTATCTTTACATATGGGATGATGTGGATATACTCCATTAATATTATTATTTGTGGTATCATTTTCTTATGAATTGAGTTATAAAAAAAATAAATCTACAAAAAAAAATTTACATATTTCTCTTTTCACATTTGCCTCCACTCATTTTGGAATTTCTTCTTCATTTCTTTGTGCTTCTTCTTTTTCTGCCTCAACATCCAAAAAGATGAACGATGGAATATAAAAATAAAAATTAAGATATTTTGTAGCTGAATAAGAAAACTGTGTATGTCTAAATTGTGATTTATTAATGTGCTGACTAGCGATAATACAGTCTGTAAGATAAAGTTTCCACGATAACACACAAAAAAGAATCGAAAAGAATGAAGAACTTTTCTTGTATTTATTTTTTCCTCTCTTATTTTATTTTATTTTTTTTTTGTCAAGCTCATTGTAGATCAACGGAAAACTTTTTTGGCGGTCTTTTCTGTCTTTTATAGCAACAAAAGAATGTAGGTTGTGAGATGAAGGGAAAGAGATGACTTCAATTGCGATTGTTTGAATGTTTTACTAATGAAGTTTTTATATATGTGAAAGGATTTATTTGAATTATGAGGTTTTGGAGTTAATGAGTGTGTTGGGGAATTAATGTAGATTCTGATGTTCATTTTTGGGGGGTTCTAAGGCTTGAGCACTCAATATAATTTTTTTTAAGAGTATCAGAGCCTTGCGGTTTCCAAGGTTTGTGGAGTTCTAGTGGTTTATGGAGGCTTTTCAGAAGCTTTTGTACATAAAGTAAATGATTGATCCAGATTTATTTCTTCGGATTTATTTCCTGATGCCGCAAGGTTCCTCTTTTGACTAAACTCAGTTCTATATTGATGCGAACAGCACTTGGCATTAGCTGTCACATGATCAACCACCTCAAAGTCATGTAGCTATCATATGACTGACATAGTCATGATGTTCATCTCTATTAATAAAGTATTGTGATTCTCAGCATCAATTCTAGTCAACAATTGCCAACTTTCCTTCAAAACCCCCACAAATGAATTTATCCCCCAAGAATCCCAATTTTTTTCCTTATCTAAAAGCCCATTAAAATCAATAAAAACCCAACAAATCAACCTTTTAAAAAATCAGCACAAAAAAATCTCCCAATTTTTTACAAAAAATATTTCATTTCTGCACGAGAGCAAGCAACAAAAAAAAATCGAGTCATTGAAAAGGAAATAAAGAACACAAAAGTTGCACATGAGAAACAAGCGAGAGATACGAGGCAGCAGAAAAAAATGAATTAAATGAAGAAATGAAAAGAAATTAAAAATTATGCTGTCCTTTCAGTCTGTTGTTGTTGTTATTATTTTTTTTATTTTCGGTCTCTCATGTCCTCCTCTGTTCGATGCATGCTTAATGGAAAGAAAATGATTTAAAATTCGTTTAAAATAAATTAGCAGAAAAACGGCACACATAAGCGAATATAACGAGAGCGGCATGTAAGGTTTTTTCTGTGCATTCCTTCTCTTTCCCTCTGTAGCTTTTAATTTATATTCGCTTCAGACTGCTTCATGTTTTTCATTTTTTTTGTGTTTTGTTGCATTATGCACACAATACATATTCGACCAATCTTCAAGTTGAGTTCTTTTTTAAAAAAAAAATAAATATATAAGAAATTGTGTAAGAAATAAGAAATATAACGAAATACAAGTTTGCTTGCATTACTTTTTTGTTGTTTCGCTGCTTTTTGTGATATGAAAAACGAGTTCGCAATTTATTCAGTATGTTTTATTTATTTTTGCTCTCTCTCATTTCTTTTTTTAGTGTATTTATTGATTTATGTGTTGATGTCGCGATTCGATATTTATTTCTGGAATAAGAATGAGATTTCGTGTTTTTGGCGAGGTTTTTTTTCCTGTGCAAGAAAGAAAGAAGGAGAGAGAGTGGAAAGGCATGGTAGGTTGGGTTCCTTGGGTAGAATTTTGTCAGGATTTAATGATTTATCTTAGATTGAACTGATTTGAGACTTTTTTTGGACTGTAATGATAAATTAATATAGAACCATATATGGCTATTGAGCTGATAAGATTCAACGATAAAACTGGCGATAGAGCAAGCTTTAAACCCGAATGACACGAGTGGGCTAATCGATCGGAAATCCAGCACCAAGCTAATATAATTCTGTCATGGTGCTGGATTTAAAACGAAGCTAGCACCATGCCAGAGTCATGCTGGCTTGGAGTCAGATTTCAATTCCATTAACCCACTTGTGTTATTTGGGAAAGTTATCTCCACACACCATCTAGGATGGTTCATGGATTTCAATTCATCTAAATGACTGTAATGTCGTGAGTATTGAGCGAATCTTTGTCATAACAACATCATTCTGTGTAATTGATTCAGAGAATCAGTCTCAGTTGATGGAAATTGAACCTACGTCCATCAACAAAAAAAGGGTTGCACATAATCGGGCTGTTGCCTAACCACTCGGCTACAGAGTTCTGACTCTCGCACTGGCAGATTCGCCTTCATATTGCTTGATACCTAAGATCCATTGCACTCTGTTCTGCAATGCATACAAAAAGTGCATAAGAAAGCCAAGAAACTCGAAAACATGGCGAGCATGAGGAGAAAAAGACAAGAAATAAAAAGAGTCAACATACACATATTTTATGCTCGTAGGTTTCTTTTTCCTCTTTCTTTTTAATGGTGGTATTTTGATAGACGAGTCCTTTCCATATATGCGAGGTAAATTGAAAATATATTGCAATATATTCGCAAAACAGTTTCAAGATCATCGACAAAAAAAAAATCCATTTAACTGTGCTCATATATGTATTATGTTGAATATGCTATAGATCGAGGTAGATATTCATCTACCTTCTACTTTATAAATAAAAATGAAAAATAATTGAAAGACTTTTCTTCACCTCGTTCTCGTTTGGTAGGAAAAGAAATCAATTTTTTTTTGCTATTATTGCACTGCTTTTTTTTTCTACATCGTCATTTCTCTCCGTGTGACTCTGTTTCAATTCAATTGTTAACCATGAGATCAGTGCCTGTATATAGAATATATCGTTTAATTGAATTATATTAAACTTTATTTTTTTTTGTATTTCATTTATGGACCGACTGACTGACTATGAAAATCGACTAGCTTTTTAATTTTTTTTTCTTGCTCTACCTCTTTTGTGTTCACTTACTTTAGTTACTTGCTGTGGCTTTTTATTTTGTAGTTCTTTTCTTTTGTGAATCGTCGTGTTGATAGAAACTTTTTGATTAAATAAATTATTTTCAGCGGGGATTTTTTATTTTGTCGAGGAGTTGAGTTGTTTTTGGGATAGAGGAAGGAGAGGAGGGGACCCCCTTCCAAAAGGGGTCAATGGAAGTGACAATTTAGAAACTAGGCTGTTTGAGTGCTGGTGGTTGATTTCTTGACCGTACCAAGGTTTTTCTCTAGAACAATGAAGCATGCCTTGGATGATTAATAATTACACAAGATCCTGGCATGGCTTAAATATAGGAAATAGATTAAGATGTCTAAAATGATTCAAACAAAGAATAAGTCTGCAGACGCTTAACTAGTTGCCTAAGCAACCCATCTTTCTTCTTCCTGTCCCCCAAAACTGTCCTTAGCTTTAATCTTAGTAAAATAGAGATTTTAGCCTCAAGACAGCTCAAATCCCAAGAAATCACATCATCCACTACACATCATTACCACACAACTCCCCATAGGTGCAGTGAATAACTCTACCAGGTGGCTTTTTTTCCTAGAATGTAATGAGAAAGCTTGTTGTAAGCTAAGAAAGAGGAAAACAGTCGCTTAATAGGGAGAACAAACCTTTAGTTTATATATTCAGCACGCCAACAATTACCTTTGCTTTTTTTTGTCTCAACTCTACATAAATTATTGATCTATTTTCAGCCTTAAATGGCTTTACATCGGTATCAACTAGCAGCAGCAACAACAAGGTAGTGGATTTTAAAGGCTGTATGATGGGAATGTTGTGTGTTTAAGCAGAAGCATGTATAGGAGGGAGTTTTGTGATGTTTTAAATGTTCAGATGCTGATAAGAAGCTATGAATCATGTCAATTGTGACTTACGAGAGCATCGACTCATTGGAAAAATATTTTTCATTTTCTCACAAAACTTTCCCTCCCGAATCATGTCAAGAACCAACAATTTCATCTCAGAAATATTTCTTCATTATCTTCTTCTGCCTGACTGTATATTCATATTATTTTCCCATTGCTGCCATGTAGCATGTGTTTATTTATTTCAATTTCAACTTGACATAAAACAAATAACCACACGATGAAAATAACTCAAAGTAACTTCCTCATTAAATATTTAATAAATTATAATTTTTTTTCATCCAGTTCTTCTTGAATTATTCAGCTTTTAGGCTGAAATTG